TTGCCCAGAGCACACGTGGGACTTGAATAGTACACAGGCCTTCTTCCAGCCCTCAGCAAAGGTGTGAATTTCAGCCATTAAGACTGTGGGATACCATAGGTATCCTGGAAAAACTCCGTCGTGTCTAGGGAACGTGTCTGCTCTTCCACTTTCAGAAGCTCTGTCTTCCTTCTTCCGTCTGTACTGGGACCTGTGCTTTTGAACATATTCCCTAATGATTTGGAAAAGGGAGTGAACTGTGAAGTGGCAAAATTTCCAGATGATATAACATTTTTCAAGTCAGCTTCATACTAAACTAAGAGTTACAAAACTGGGTGACTGAGCAACAAAATAACAGATGGGCTGTGTCTAGATTGGCATGATTTTCCGGAAATGCTTTTAACGGAAAAGTTTTCTGTTAAAAGCATTTTCGGAACAGAGCGTCTAGATTGGCACGGATACTTTTCCGCAAAATCACTTTTTGCGGAAATGTGTCCGTGACAATCTAGATGCGTTTTTCCGCAAAAAAGCCCCAATCGCCATTTTCGTGATCGGGGCTTTTTTGCGGAAAACAAATCTGAGCTGTCTACACTGGCCCTTTTGCGCAAAAGCTTTGTGTAAAAGGGACTTTTGCCCGAACGGGAGCAGAATAGTATTTCCGCAAGAAGCACTGATTTCTTACAGTAGGAAGTCAGTGCTTTTGCAGAAATTCAAGTGGCCAGTGTAGACAGCTGGCAAGTTTTTCTGGAAAAGCAGCTGATTTTCAAAAAAACCTGGCCAGTCTAGACACAGCCATGAAGTTCAACACTGGTAAATGCAAACCAATACAATTTGGGGAAAAAACCCCAACTATAGATAGATAGATAGATAGATAGATAGATAGATAGATAGATCCTAAATTAGCTATTGCCACTCAAGAAAAGATTTTGGAGTCATTGTGGATAGTGTTCTGAAAACTTCAGCTCAATGCAAATGAGCTGTCAAAAAGCTAACAGACTGCTAGGACCTACAGGTTGAAACTCTGTAATCTGGACTTCCCTAGTCTGGCCACACCCTGGTCAGGCTTCATTTTCAGAAGAGAGGAGTCTGCCTGCCGATTCATGAATTAACATGGGATTGACTTTTAAAAAAGTACCAGGAAAAGGTTTTCAGAAATGATTAGTGGTTTCTGGGTGCCCAACTTGAATCAACATAAAGAGGCAGGATTTATGAAGGAGGAGAGCTCAGGACTATCTGAAAATCAGTCTCCACGAAGGAGTTTTTGGTAAGGTTGGTAAGGTTAAAAAGTGTGTAATTATGTAGCCACTGAAAATCTCAGCAGTTACATGGTTACACACACCTCCAGTGTGGAGCAGCAACTGTGCTCGGATACAGAGTCAGCATCGTGGGGTGGCATCTGGCTCCCTGGGAGCAGGACAGGGACCTGCGTATAATATTTAATGGTAACCAATAAGCCCAGGCTTATTGGATAACCATTTAAACAGTCATACTTTTATATCCTGAGTTTTTAGCCCCAAAAATTGCTAGTTACTTTTGAATTGCAAATGCCATTTCTTTTGATGTTGGCTTTAAGAGGGAGAAAGTGAGGGAACAAATGAGAAAAACAGGAAAAGAAACAGTTAAAAACTCATTTTTTGGCAAAAATACTGCTAACTTTATCCCTTTGGAGAATATCAGACTGGATTTAAAGGTTATCTTGGCATATGTAGACTTATTCCAGATTCACACCAGTATAACAACAGACCTTGTCTCACAATATTTGTTTAGTTATACCCAATGGAAAAATGAAGAGTAACATAAAACTATGCTAGGTGCTGCAGGACTATTTGTTGTTTTCTAAATGTTTTCATAAAACTATACGTCCCTTATGTGAAGACCCAAAACTGGTGTGAATTACAAAGTATAACCCAGTTTTAGAGGTAGTGAAAATCTGGAGATCAGAAAACCTGGACAAAGAAAGACCACTAAAATCAACTGCAGCACTAAGTATTTAAAGAGCATTCGACAGTTATTTGAAATTTTTATCCTTTTAGGCTTTCAACAATGTTAAAGCACTACCTGAAATTATAGTTCAGACAATGTACAACGATAAAAATACTTAAGAACTCATTATTAGCTTGTTGTCAAGCTTCCCACAACTTAAAAATTTATGTTTCAGGTTAAGTGTGTTCTCTAAAAATTAACACAGTGCATACTTTAATAATTAAACAGGTAGCATGTCACTTGGTTAAGGGGTTAAGATGAAAGGCGTAACTCTAAAGGTATTTTATGACATAGTAGTTTAGGTCCCAAGAGTTCTTGTTCTTTTCTTTCACTCAGAAGTTTCTGGCTTAAGAGAATGGCACCAGTGACATTGATACATTTATAATTTAGCAGCTATACTAAATAGGAAGTTCACTCCAAGTTTGCTGGCAGCTTCTATTCTCACATAAACTGTCCCACCAGAGCCTGACTAAGAACAAACATAAGATAATGTTGATTTTAGTTTAAAAATACCTTCATTGGTATTTAATTGTGTAGAATAATAAAAACGTAGTCAGCCTTCTGAAGTTTATGTCTGGGGTGGACCCCAAGGTAAAACTATTGATGATTTGGGGTTTCTAACACTGAACAATACAAAGCAACAAAATAACACATTTTTCAAAACATAGATATAACCAACCTAAGTAGCTTTTTCCGTTTCCCATTTTCTAGTTGTCATGAAATTTTGTTAGAGTCATGCAGAAACTTGTGCTCTTTTGTTGGCAATCAAAAATAGTTTCATTTTGTAGCGATTGAAATGAAACTTTTGAACAACTCCACTCTTCTTGGAGTGCATTGCTTTAAATATATGCTATTTTTGGATGCAAATGCATGAAGTTCTAATCTGGCAAAAACCCTAACAAATTAAACCACATGATCATGCCATCAGCTTCTACGATGCCAAATGGAAAAAAAACACTGGGGTCTCTGTTTTTTTCTGAAAAATGGTAAACAAAGAGAACTTTTGATGTTTATTCTTCTATGCCCTTAAGAAAGAAGGCACTGAAAAATAGTGGCATTGTTGAATGATGCTACTGAGGCAGACGATTCAGCCATATATGACCTCTCATCGTCCGATGGCCCTGTATCAAATCCCTCCTACTGCTTTGCATTTAAGACATGAAGAATACATATCTACACTGATGTTTTTGGCTCTTAGTGCCAGATAAGAACAAAGACTATTTATTCAATTAAATATTTATGAGGCATTCCGCCCCTTTTACACAGCATTAAATCAATTCACCAGCCCAAAGATGCATTGCTTGAAAGCCAAGTGTGTAATAATAGAGTAAGCAATCTATATTCTCAGAGGGTCATTCTGTCCTTTTCATTATATCTAACTTAAAAAAATATATACATTAAAAAGCATGGTCCCTATACTTAGTGCGTTGAGTGTGTCTTCTTTAGACAGTAAAATGTGTTTAGATGTTAATGAGCATCAAGAATGACAAAGCCAACTAGATATTTAGAACAGGAACAAATTTAGTAGACACAAATATTATTTTTGAATAAACACTGACTGCCTTATTGCATCCCACCACCTTTGAAAGAGAAGAAGGAACAGGCAAACCAATGACTGTGATACCATGACAGGTCTTAACAGGCCAGTAGAGGGAGCTCATTAAAAGGGCAATCTTCTTTCCTCTACTAGTTTCACTGCTGTGGTGCCTGAAGCTTCAGTCGTGTACACAGTCACAAAAGGGTATGACTCGACACCCTCAAACATCACCAAAAATGATTTTTCAATGCTGCATTTATGCAAAATGCTACCAGACAATTAAGAAATTGTAATTTCCTAACATAGGTTTTGCAGGAATAGATGAGACTAATGGGTAAGAGCCCAAGAGTTCATGTGGTCTGCATGATGCAGTCATACAAGTAATACAAAATGACCTCTCTGAGCTGCAGTGCCAGATTAAAATGTCTACTGGGTCAACTGCTGTGTTGATTCAATTTCACACCAAAACCAGCATGTAAGATCTGTGATTTCTTTGCAAGTAACAAAATAAAAAAAAGAAAATAAAAAGGAGTGTTCTGAAGCAAGTCCAGAGGAGTCAGGAGAAAAAAAAGAAATATTATCTATAAGTACCCTTATGATATAGTTAGTGCAAGAGAGTATAGCTTCAGAATATACATCATCAATTATTGCTACCTCTGATTTATGGTTCACACACTGACTCTCCACACTACTTCTTCATATAGCTCCTATCAGCCAGCAATTAACACAGTTCCACTGGATGTTCTACTGCTCAGCTTTTTTTCTGGAATGTTCTAGTATTTTGTCATGTGCATTTGTGATAGCATAGCATCACTGTACTGGTAATATAATGCAGCATTTACTGAGTTCAGTGAGCAGTTCCTACAACATTAAAGCAACATCACTCTGATGTGGCAGTCCATACCAGGCATAGCTGCAATTTAAATCAGTTGGATCCAATATTTTTCAATGCCTCGTAAAGTCTTTTGAAAATGCCTTGTCTATTAGTCTTACGCAATTAAGTAAAAGTTTAAAGTTATGTACGACTGGTGTTTCATTGCAGCGTTTGTAGCTCAAAATCAACACAAATGGCAAAGGCTTAACTTAGTACACGTTGAAGGGGAAATGGGGAAAATCCTGGCCCATTGAAGTCAATGGCAAAACTCCCATTGATTTCAATAGGATCAGGATTTCACCCACTGACTTCAAAGGGAGATTTAGCTGAGTATGGGTTGTGTGACTGGGACTAAAGATTTTTACAGAAAGACTTCAGGTTAAAAGAAAAAACTTGAGGACATTATGTACATGGACAGCTATAATGGGTGTGGTTTTCTAAGGGTCTCAACCTTTTTTTGCTCCCGCTTAAGTTGATGATAGAACTCCTATTTACCTGCTAAACTGAGCTCTTTTGAAAATCCTATTTTAAGCACACAGTTATTTTAAGGCCAAGCTTATATTAATGATCTACTGTGGTGCATAACACACAATAATAATACATAACATAAAAAGCTCTTCTCTTTACCTGCACTGGTGCCTGCACCGGTTGTGAGGTCCCCACCCATCAGGCCACCTAGGGTTTCAAATAAGATAGTTAAAAGGAGAATGATCATAGTAGTTTATTTTTAGTCAAACATTTAAAACAATACTAATACATTTTCTCTCAAGTAACCCATTCCAATGCCCTCTGAAGTTCTTAGACATCTTTTAATTAACTTCAGTGGGCATCAGATCAGGCCATGATCTTTTTAAAACTGCAAATTGTCCTTTGTAAGGTTTTACAGCTAACATATTTGTATCATGATGTCCTGCAAACACAAAAATATGTTGAGTAGCTGACACTTTACAGACACTGACATTTCTCAGATTTTTTTCCCAAGCAGACATAGTCTAAGAAGCATCCTTATATTTAAAAAATGGGCTTGGTCTAATTATTCTGGATTATTTGAAAAAAATATGTATTTAATTGTTAACTGCATTAGAAAACCCACAGATGATTGTTCTTCATAAGCTGCTGCCAGGCAATGAGATACTGCAAGTAGTTCTACAAACAAATTAATGGTAAATAATTATTGTAGCACATTTGTGTAATTGTTTATTATAATATTCTTGACCCCTTCATAGACATTTGCTCTACAGATTTATTTATTTACTTTTTTCCTTGGGCTGGAGAACTTGTATGGTTCTTTAAACTCCGAATACTTAAGGCTACATTGCTTCAGCCAGACTGAGTGAATGATCCTAATCCTCATTTATCCTGCTCAAAGGTGACCCTGAATCATCACCAGCATGGAAAGCAACCTTTTGTTTATACACTCCAGCTTGGAGGTGGCCTCCTATTTACCAGTCAATGAGCTTGTGAATACATACAGAATTACAAATGCTATATTTAGCCTTTTAACTGCTGTTTAAGTAATTAGAAGCCTATTTTACTTTCAAAGATAAGGTTGCTCTGATCATACATAATTTTTCAAGTTTATGGAAAACAGCACAGTGGCTTTTTGCATGGCACAAACACATGAGCTGCCTTTCTGTGTAACAGTAAATTGTCTGCCTTTCTCCTTTATGGATTTCCTTCATTCTTAGCCAATACTCATACAGGCATTCCCCAGGTTACGTACAAGATAGGGACTGTAGGTTTGTTCTTAAGTTGAATTTGTATGTAAGTCGGAACTGGTACATATTGTAGGGGAAACTCTAGCCAAACATTTCTCCAGAGCTCAGTTTTATTCTCCCACACCTCACTTCCCTCAGTCCTTTATTCTCAAGCTGAGGTGTCTGCTGAGAAAAGCCGCTCCGCGTCTCCCTGGTCTGCTGGCGGGGGCGCTAGCTTCGTGTCTCCCTGGTCTGCTGGGGGGAAGCAGCTAGTGCAGGGTTGCCTCACCCTGTTTGTAAGTAGGGATCCGATGTAAGTCGGATCCATGTAACCCGGGGACTGCCTGTATGTTTCCAGAACATTATTTTCAGAACTCTATTTTACTTTGTAATTTTGGGTTTGAAATGCCTTAGGCTTTTAAAAAGTTTTTTCACTATATCAATTTTGGGCTAACTGTTGTAACTGGTAAAAGAGAATCCTGTTTCTCGAAGTACAGTTTGAAATGACAGAAGATATTTCTGAACATTGGAAGAAATGTGATTTAACAGAGCCTACCTGGGTTACCTGCACTTGGAGGCCGATGTGTCACACCAGGAGACATGCTATTTCTCTGCAAAGAAGGGTGGGCCAGTGGCAAAAGGTTGGGGTTACCCAGAGAGCTGACTGGGTTACTGTATACCAAACTGTTGTGGTTGGACACTGGGATAGAAACTGGCATCTCAAAGTTAGGTGGCGGAACAGCCTGTACAAGCAAAAAAAGGAAATAAAGACAAGAATAGTACAGAAGCACAACAGTCTTCAAGTACAGTTACTCTATATTTAGTTCAAATATTTTGTAACCGGTGGTTAAAACATTTAAAAAAACACCCTAAAAATCAAGAGAAAGAGTTTAAAACAGTTACCAGCTATGTTTCAGGCACCAGGAAAGGCTTTTAAAAATGGCTTTACAAATCACAATTCAATATTCCTTTCCTGAAGTTTCTAAATTTCCTTTGTGAGTATTAGAACGTTTCCCCCCCCTACTTTTGTTTAAAACAAAACCCCACTTCATTAGGCTTCATTTTCCTTCTCTTCCATTCAGTGAAGTCATAATTGTTCATTTGTGATATCTTAATCTGGTGTCACAGATGACTGCAAGATCAAAGGTACATGATTATGATGACTTCGTTGCATGGAGAAAAATGAGAAGGGATGGAATGCAAGAGAGAAAGCTTTAGTTTCAGTCTGCGTTGCTTTAGCAACCAGAATCATGTTAAAGGCACAAACAACTGAATTACTTTTTTTTAAAAAAAGTTTTTCCTTAGTCTAGAATGGGCTTTAAAGAAACAAAGTGCTCCCCAAGGACATATCAAAGTATAGTGTAAAATATATACATATCCAGGATCCTTATCTGACAGCTCTTTTTTGTAGTGCCTTTTCATTATGCTTTTATCTCCATTTAAAAGTAACATCCTCTTATATATATACGGTTATTTTCATCTTGAAGGATCCCTTTAAATGAAGCAAATTGGGCCAAATTATCTCTTTTCTGACTCTAAACTGCAAAGGAAGAGGGAGAGAAGGTGCAGTGCCTAAGAGGCGATGCCAAGAGGAATTTATTAGACATTTAAAATGTATAATGCAGTGTTGCCAACTCTGATTTTCTCAAGAGTCTTTCTTGTTTTCTTAAAGCCTGAGAAGGTTCTGGAATTATGTGAATACATGAAAATTTCAGCTTTTGCTTCTTAAAAATAGTTTTCAGTCCTCTTGTTTGCAGAGAAAAACTTGAAAATGTGACCTGCATATACCCTAAAGGGTCAAAAACCAGAAGCAACTCAATGGAACCCCAAATGTATTGATTTTTTTAAAAAAATTCGTGGGTTATAAGCAAATAACATGAGTCTGGGGGGAGGGGGAGGGGCTGATTCAAGATGTTAGAGCAGATGGGGCTGCTAACACAGATCTGGGACCTGGAGTCATAGTGATGAGAGATGCGCATAGTGCAACAATCAAGTTGTGCTGGACAGGGGATACATAGCTTTGTCCATGCCCTACCTATAAATGCATCTTCTGGGGCTGGCTATTCAGTTCTGCAAGCAGTGCTAGTGAAATGCCCATGATGTACAAGAGCAGCACTCAAATTACTGCTGCGTTGTGCTCCTTTTGCCCTTGTTTCCACACTCATGGAAAGTATAATTCAGCCCTAAGTATACAGGAATCATTTCACTTATCACTGAAAAAATGCTGCAAGTGAATAGTGCACAGCAAGATTTCAATTCATGGCAGGATGCAAAGCACATGTTAGATGAGAACCTCCAGACCCCAGGTATAATTCAAGGTGTTAATTTTGTTTTCTAACTATTTCTGTAGCTAGGGTCCTGGCTTTCAAAAGACTGCCTCTTTCCCCTCATGCTGCTGTGACAGCTGAGGTCAGCTGGGGTACTTGAGCTAACTGACCCCAGATTAAGTGTCTAGGGCCAGCTGGCAGAGCATTCGCAGTAGAGAGCCCTTGACTCTGGAACTTACTTCCCCTTTGCTCCAACAGAGCTGAAGTCTGTTGTCCCTTAATGGTCAATTTTCTGAAGAGTTAGTTCAAGGAGGTAGTTTAAGTCTGTGGGGAAGACAGAACTATTTTGTGGAATACTCGTCTCCTTTTGTTTAGTGGTTAAGAAGCAAAAGTGTATGTTTTACTACATTCTGTATCTGAACCTAGAATTGTATGAGATAGCTTGTATTTCATAAATAAAAAAGAGGTAAAATAAATACATATTGAAAACGATGACAGATAAAATACCAATAGAGTGCTCTGCATCACTTTTAGGAACAAGCTTTTTCTGCATGCAGCACCCTAACTTGAATTGTTGCTAATAACAACAATTTTGTGTACATGTAGAATTTGTCCTGCAAAAAAAAAAAGTTTACAACACAGGTTAGGATCTCAGAGTGTGTCATCACTGTAGACCTGATCCCTTGGAAACACACACATAATAGGTCATTCAAAACAGTATACAAGTGTGTAGACATGTTTAGAAACACAATGGGTGAAATTCATCCATCCTGAGACAAAGTCCAAATAACAGCAATCAGGGAGAGGAATTCTCTAGGTTCAGGTAGGGATGGAATCCATCCTCCATAGCACAGGGGCAGGCCATTAGGCTGATTGTAAGACCAGCCCCTCTTCAACTGATATTTCAGCCTGTGTTCATTTATGGATACTGCCTTTCCAAACTGTTTTGGCTCACTGAATCCATGTCATGTTGGATCTATTGGCTACACTTCCAGCCTACCCCTAATTAGTTGACTTGGAGTCCATTACCTTGGCAGTGTGTTAGGAGGTATGGCAATCCACCAGAAGGTCAACTGGTGCACTGTTCCAGCTCTGCAGGGTCTAAGCAACACATAGGAACTTGTATGTATCCCTCCCCTGAGTCAGAATTTTGCCCACTGAGGATCATTCTGCTGTCTGCTTTACCTTTCTCAGGACATAGACAAAGTACAGGCTGCTGATTATGGATAGACTGCTAATGAGCATTGTCCATATTTCTTTTCCTTTTTCCCCTTTCCTATCCCTTTAATTTCTACTGCTGCTCCCAATTAAAACAAACACCCAACTAGAAATATGACTAGCAACACTTTGATAATTCTTCATCAGATTCAATTGCTTGTATCTTCATCTTCTGCTCTTTGTCCATTTGTGTGTTTAAACTGTAAGCTTTTCAAGGCAGGAATTGTGTCTGTTCTGCACAATGGGTCCCCAATCATGACTGCTGCTATTTCTACTGCTACTATGCTACTGTACAGACTAATTATCAGTGAAATATATGAGCATTGCCAAAGCAATTATAAGGTCTTCTTTTGTCATTCTTTAAAGGCATTCTTAGATGAGCTGCAGAATTCATATCCCTCATTACTGAATGTACATGTTGCGGCTGGCTTAACATACTTTTATGTAGTTTGGATACTGTAGAACTAGTATACAGCACACTTTGCATGCAGTCTGACTGTGGTTAGGTTGTTTACTTGGTACTTTTATATGCAGTTTGCCTATGTTAATGCTGGAATTTTGTTTTATTCATTTTATAATCAAAATATATGAGACGTAAAAATCAGTAATGAGTTGGGAAAACCGTGGGGTCCTTATGGGCATCAATGCTGCCTGTATAATACTACACTGCAGAAACACCACCACCAACAAAAGCTGCAAATTTGCTTCTCTGGTTCCCACTGCCTAAAACTTCTGTTTACAGTCAGAAATTTTCTTGAATGGGGTATGCAGGACCTTGTACAGATTGGTTTTGAAGATGAAATAAGAGTGCAGATATTCCATGGTATCTTTATTTCAACCTGATGTGCATCTGTGCAGACACATACACACACACACACACTTATTTGATGTGAAATTTCAAATGGGTGAAATCACACAACATTGACCTAGAAATTATGACCACAATTTTTTGTGCTAAATGTTTCAATTTTTATTTTTTGCAAATTTCAACCAGGACTTATAACTATGTACATTCAGTGTATGTGTGTATGTATGTGTGTGTGAGAGAGAGATTCATGCATAGCTGATTATTTCAGTCACATATTATTTCGGCACTCTTCTAATAACTACAAATAAATATATAATTAGCATCAGATGTTTCGGAATCATATTAATACTTATCCCTAAAATATTCTGTGGAAACCTTATTGGTCTTTTTCATTAAGAGGAAAAGCCAAGTTTCTTTTCATCTTCAGTATTTTGTTTAATTACAAGGTGAGGAGCAAGCCAAACTTTTGTCTGACATTTTTCTAAGTTATGATTAAGTGGTTTGACTTGTTTTCACTCTCTCTACATCTTCCCAGCTTCCTTTTGTAGGCCACTTCCTCAGGTGATAAAAATTGCTGGAGTGCCATTGAATTCAGTGGAACTATGCTGATTTACACCAGGTGAGGCTCTCTCCCCTTATATTTACAAATCTCTGTTATGGATTAGCTATGAACGCCATCAGGCCTATTAGACATTGGCTTTCTCTGAGAGGGATGGAATTTTCCACTGCATAAAGGGAGACTGTACCTTCTGCATGAGGATCCTGCTCTGCAGACCACTGTAGAGAGTGAGAGTGGAATCATTTGTGGAGAAGAGGTGATCTTGGTGTGCAAAGAAGGGGCTATCTTTGGGCTTGTAGGACTGCAACTCGGTCAGATCTTTGTGGAGTATGCGCAGTGGTGGAATGCGACTCCTTGAGAGTCTTCCTCCTGAGCATCCATGTCTGGGTATGTCAGAGTCCCACTATATACATAGTCATTGTAAGTTGATTACCCGATGAACTTAGGCTTATCAGGTAGTCGAATCAACTACTCACATTCTCCACCCCCGCTGCCTCTATATCAGAGGCATCGAGGTAGGGGGAGCAGAAGTTGATTCTCGGGAGAGCTAGCTTAAAAACCAGTCCCCCCCCAGCACTGTCTCTGTGGCATGGGTGGTGGTAGTGGACTGGGGAGGCAGAAGTGCAGTGGGGAACTCTGTGTGAGTGGAGACTGAAAAAGTCCCTGCTTGCACTGGGTTCCCTGATGCACCTCTGCCTTTGAAATGTAGTGGCTCTGACTACATTTAAAAAACAAAGGCACAGTGGGGATAACAAGTGCCCCCCTCCTCCATTATTGACTGATCAAGTAATCGATGGAAATTCCATCAACTACTCAATTAGCTCATAAATCGAAATATAACATCCCTAGTAACACTTATCATCGTATAATGCCTTTCCTCAGATACTCTATAAGTAATTTCACAAAAACTAATAAACTGCACCTCATCAACATCTCTGCAAAATAGGTAAGCAATATTATATCCAACATGCAGTTTACAAAACTGCAGCGGAAAGAAGTTAAGCCAAAGAGTTAGTCAATGGCAGAGTGGGGACTGTAACACAGGAAGAGAGATGGTGGTAAAATGTTTCTTTAAAATTTTGAACTTTGGGGAAAAATAGACATTTTTGTGATATTTTTGTGAGAAAATGTCCTATATTTTTACTGGCTCTAGTTTGGATCCATCTAAGTCTACGTCTACACTGCGGAGTTATCCCAAAAAAGCTCTGCCGCACCTAAAGAATGCTTCTGCTTTTTTGGAACAATTTCCGAAAAAGTGGACGCGTTCTTTCAGCATCCCTGTATTCCTCATTGTATGAGGAATAAGGGATGTTCTGAAAGAGGAGGGTTTTCCAACATTTGGCCCCGAGTGGAAAAAGATATGCAAAATGCGATTTTCAATTTGCATCTCTTTTTCCTAAAAACCCCCGCAGCATAGACATAGCCCCTGTCTCCCAAGAACAAACACTTGCCTACTCTCATAGAGAGTTATAAGCTGACAGGATCAGTTAAGAGTTAATTTTTTAGGATTTCAAGACTTTAAACAGTTACAGAGATATGGTGACTTGGAAAAACAAAACCAAGTGGTATATGAGATCAGAGCCCCTGGAACAGTTCCTTACACGAGGAATGAGTTACTTCAGGGATTTTGGTTTCTGAAATCAAATCCCATTTTATCGGGGCCTTTGTCACTGAGGGGTTTTGATAAACCAGTATCCATCATCTGAAAATGGACAGGGGCAGGATTTTTACTGGTAAAAGATGGGAGATTCGAGTTAAGAAGTCAAAGTCGCAGCCATTGCTTTACCAAAAAGATGTGTATCAAGTCTTTTGGCAAAATCATGATGGCAGTTTCAAAACTCTCTTACTGAAAAATATTAGACAGAGGTGTGGAAGTAGGAAGGTAGAGGAAAAGAGAGGAAAATATAAATATAATATTTTATTAAATATAGCATACATGTGTTCAGCATTTTGAACAATGTGTTCTAAATGAGTACGTGTCCCTATTATAGTTATTCTGATCTCTTGGATAAATTCCAAATTTTCCTTAACTCATGTGAAAAACTATCCAAGAATTAAATGAAATATTATTTAAGCAGTGAAAGAAAAAATAGAAAATTCTTAAGGACAAATGTCTCTCCAGTTTGGACATCAACTTTTGCATGTGCAATGGACTGTGACTGCATAAGAGGCCTATGCCTTGGGAGCATAAAAAGCCATTTGTATCCTGCCTTCCAGTTTGCAACATGGCTGTATGCACAGTTGTGGAGTGCAATCAACTATGTGTACAGGCATTGATGTGCAAATTCAGATGCTTGCTTGTAAATGGATGAAAATGTGGCTGTACTTCAAATTAAATACTCTTTTATTCTGATTATAGATCATGTCTACATTAGGAAATTATTTTGAAATTTCTAAATTTGACTTAAGAACTCCTGATTTAACAAATTTGAACTCGAGTGTCCTCACTATGGGGAAACATCAAAATTAGTCCAAGGCAGGCTCTGTTAATGTGGATGTGCTACCTTGGATTTAGAGCCTCAGGAAGCACTTTGAGGAGCTGTGGTAGGCCTCCTGGAGTCCAATAAGTTTGAATTAGCAGCACCAGAGTGAAATGACTATTTTGGAATTAGCATTACTCCTCGTAAAAAGCAGGAGTACAGAGTTCAAATTCTGTGGCCTCTTATTTTGAAATAACGGGTCTGGTAGTGTGGATGCACCACTTATAAATTCACTCTGGAGGGAAGGGGGATTATTTTGGAATAAGTAGTATAGACCAGGGCATACAGTTTGCTTCTCTTTCTTATACAATGAATGTTGAATTTAATCATGAATTTCTTAACTTTTGTCAGTCTGTATCACAAATGTAACATTATTAAACTATTACAGTATTTAACATTTTTCTGTATGTGTGTACAAACAAAATAGCACATGCAGAGTTATTTCTCTTATGTATCTGGCAAGGCATATAATTGATTGTTAGAAATTTTGGCTTGGTTAAAACAAAATTTAGCTCATGTTAAAGCATTAAAAGAAATGCTGATGAGGTCAAAGCAAATCCTCTGATAAAGCTGTAAAATCACCCCAGCACACAAACATGTCTGAATCCTACCCATTAGGCTCTCATGCAGGCTGTTTCTCTGCAGCGAGCAATTAGCTGTAACCCTTCAGTGCTGTAACTGAATTTAGCATTGAGGCTTAAGACATGAAATACAAAATAAAAAGCTGCTATATTTAAAAGAATTTCAGTTCTACATAATTCTTTCTATATCACCACAGAAAGTATTCTGTGGGTTTGTTAGTCTGTCCACAAAGAAAGATTTCCATCGTTATTTTCTAGATATAATTTGGGCAAGTGGTGTGGTAAACAGTTCTGTAAATCAAGTGAATATAATGTATATATGTATATTTTACTTCCTTCTGTCAGTTTCACCTGTAGGAGGTTTTGTCTGTGTGTCAAATGCAGAGAGTTCAAGAGAAAAAATACGTTTGTGATTTTTTTTCTATTTGGCTATAGGGGAGGGTCATTAAAGCTTGTTTCTAGTTTAAATGCTCTCAATAAGAATTCAGAGCTGAAAGGGTTAAGGTATGTTACTGCAGCAGTTATCAGCAGACAGCCATCTAACCTTTGGTACTTACAGGTATTTTATGGCTCTTGATCATATTATCAAATTCTTCATTAATTTTTTTGTATTTTTCTTCAGTGCGTGGGGTGAGAGCGTAAGAGGAGTCAGGATCAGGGCTTTCACAGCCTTTGTTTTCTTTCTTGTTCAATGCCTGCCAGGTTCAGAGAAATATCAAAAAGTAAAAAAAAAATGAAAGGAGCTCAGAGTACTTACACACAATCTTTGCCTGCTGATCATTAGATCAATATCTTCATTAATTTTCCTGTACTTGTCCTCAGACTCAGGGCTGTGACCTACTGAATCGTCTGCATCGGGGTCTGGACTGTCACAGCCATTAAGTCCTTTCTTTCTCAACGTCTGAAATACATAATTTGGAAAGTTCAAACCATGACACAGGCTGCAAGAAAGATGAAGGGGTGTTAACAGTACTGAAAACTGCCCTGTAGATGAAGGTTGCTACATTGTACTTTAGGAAAAGAAAGTGAATACAGATCAGAGAGGTCAACACTCTGGTTGCCCATGGCAAATGGGCAGTCATTCTGACTTCTTCCCTCTGAAATTAGAATCAGTCAGTAAATGATGGGAGAAAGCAATCTGGTACAATGTCTTGTGCTACAATACGTGCTTGCCACTGTAACTGATAATGTTTAAGATGTTCAATGTGCAATTAGTTTCAACACATATTTATGCATTTCAAATTTATGACTAGAGACATCAAAACAAGAGTACATTGAAATTGGAGTACTGCAATATACTCCCCCCTCCCTCCCAAGGAACAGGAGGAAGAAATGCAAACATAGTACATGGATTTAAGAATCTATCATCTTGACAGAAGAAGGAAGAGTATTTAAATTAATTTCTTGATTTGAATTTGATGTAAAGGATGACACTAATGGTACCCTGCCACGCCTTACCCTTGATAGGACAAAGGGGAAGAGGACATTGCTTATGCTGCTCTGATTAAGAGCTTATAGACCCAGTGTTTGCTTTTTTGTTGACTCCAATTACAGTGCCTCAGATATAAAGTATTGAAATTTAATATATAGGGAATTACATAGTTAAAACAGATGATCACTGAAAAGTCAAAACATATGATGAGCTTAATGTTCAGCAGCTCCCCCAACCTTCATA